TTATATTATGATCAGTTACTAACTTTGAACTCTAATAAACAATGACTTGCAACTTTTGTAACACAACACATTTCTGATACTTGGCCGGTAGGTCACTTCGTTCCGGGGATGTTAGAACCAGTTGGGAATCATAAGCAGACATGTGCGATATTTGTTTTGGAACAAATTTAAGAGCAAGCTACTTAAATGAAACTATGGAGTTATTATTCTTTATAATTTAACTAGTATATAAGTCGGACCATGGCGAATCGGTGGACTAAATATACATACATATATATAGCTGAAATAGGAACAATCGGACGATTTAAAGAACTATGATCTGTAATTAACCATGACCAGTAATTAACTATGAGCAGTGGGAAACTCTGATTAGTAAGTATCTATGACCAGTAAGTAACTATAATCAGTAGGTATCTAAAGTATTGAAAAGTATTAGTAAGTTTCTGAGTATGTAAAGGGGACCATGGCAATAAGGAAATAAATTGAAATATAAAGTCTAGAACTCGGCCTAATCCCACCTACAGCTTCTTCATACATAGTATAAATGTCATGGTTAACACTTACCGCCGTAAAGGAGACGTGGCTATTCTCTTTCGTCATTGTTTACATTGACCAAGAATGGTGACTTCATCCAAAGTGAGTTTCTTCCTAGTCATCCAGATGTACCACGCCATATTTTTGGGATCGAAGGGGGATCACTATCACTATCACTTGAGATGTTAACACTAGGTACCCCTAGGACAGACTGAGGCGCGCGCGACCTCAGCACCTCTATTTATAGTCCCCGAGCAGAGCAGAGAAGAGTAGAGAAGAGCAGAGAAAGTGAGTGTGAGTGCGTGGGAGAGAAGCAGTTGCCTCTAGAGATTAACACAGAGCGATTAACATAGAGTGAGAGGGGGAGAGGAAGAGAGGAGCAGCGAGCTATTTAATTTAACAATAATCAATAAGTAACTATGAGCAGTAAGTAACTCTGACTAGTAAGTATCAATAAAATTAAGTAACTCTGAACACTAAGTACCTATGACTAGTAAGTATGAATGTTCAGTTACTAGCTTTGAACACTAATATACAATGACTTGCAACTTTTGTAACACAACACATTTCTGGAACTTGGCCGGCAGGAGTTACTTCGTTCCGGGGTATTAGAAGCAGTTGGGAATCATATGCACATATGTGCGAGATTTGTTTTGGAACAAATAGTAAGCTTTTTGAATGAAACTATGGAGTTATTCTTTTGTATAATTTTACTAGTATATAAGTCGAAGCATGGCGAATCGGTGGACTATATATATACATATATATAGCTGCCAAAGGAACGATCAGAAAATTGTAAAAAACTAAAATTTTAACTTTTCCACACTGTGAATATAAAATGTAAAGGAGAATGCAAGGGTATACAAACTTCGGCGTACTTTAGTTTGGATTATTCTGGCCACATTTACAAATCCCTTGGCTAATTTCTTCTTGTTCTAGGAAGACGCTAATCAAAAGTTTAATGCCCAGCCAAAAGGCATGCAAAATGCAAAGTCAAACAAACTAAAAATCGGCAGCAAGCCAAAAAACGTATTAAATAGAAAATGTGAAACCGGCAACCGGCAAAATGCAACCTGCCACCGCGATATGAGGCAAGCTCAACAATTATTATGCAGCAGCAAAAATCCACTCGAGGCGTTGCCCGCAGCCAAGTCGCTGCCAAGTGATTCTAATGATGCTTCTAATGATATAGTCAAAAGCGAAGCGCAACTTGCCACAGCAAGGGGATCGGAGAGGGAGTCGGTAGCAATTGCATTCGGTTAGCCATTTGGTGGAGCCAAAGTCAGTCTCCTCTTAACCCTTATCCAGCCTGGATAGTGAGAATTAAGAAATTCTCATCAAATATGTTATTAATGCTTAAAAACTTTTGCAGAAAATATATTTTATGTATGAAATAAAACATAAATTCTTAGTTTTTTATAGGAAAATCTCTTGAAACTTCAATCTATCTATTGTAAATAGTATACAATATATTCCAGAGGCAAGACATTATATGAGTCTTACCCTTAAGAATTTAGAAAGCACATAAACATATTTGACATAACCTTTAACGCACAGGTTATGTCAAATATGTATTTATACAATCTATTGAAACTTAAAAACACCTACAAATAGATTCAGCTAAAATATATCCCCTAGAACAACCGATGGGTTAACTAAATGTTCTAATACGCCTCTTCCCCCCTTTCACTGCTTCTTCCTTCCTCGATGCGCGTCAGACTTTTCCGCTTTGATTTTGCGTTAATCTTGGCTTGCACCTGTTGGACGTTCGGTCCCCGTTCGTCCACTTCTCGGTGGGTTGGCGACTCTTCCTCCTGGTGGTGGTGGTGGGGGAACCTGGAGGAGCCTATCCGCCAGGAATCCCCCCTTTGCCAGCACTTGGGGCTGGGAGTAAAGGCGATGCCGTTGTTCAATTTTGCGTGCCGTTGCCGCCTCTGTTATTTTAACAATCTGCCATTTAAGCGTAAAAAATGTTGCCTCGTTTCGTGCCGCAGAGTTTTCCTTTTTGCTTGGATTTAGTGTTTTTTTTTCGGGCTATTTGATTTGGCAATCATGGACCGATGGCGCTGCGTTCTCCATTCTGCATTCTGCGTTTGCTTTTCGGTGCCAGGTTGCTTGGGTTTCTTTTTTTCTTTGGTTTTTTGGGCGGCGGCGTTGCGTTAGTTGAACCTTTTTCGGGCAAAACACACACGAGAGTTGGTCAAAAGGAAATGGCTTAGACAGGTTGGTTTCGGATGCCAAGAATGTGGATTAGTCAAGACTTTGATTGAGAAATTCTTGGCGATCGCCGTGGTTTGTTAAATGGATAAATAGGAAGTCATTTCGAGATTTAATTTACTTTCCCTCTGCCTTGAAGATAATTTATTTTTCATTTTTGGTTTGCTTTAAACTGTGAGATTGCTTTATGAAGGCCATCCACATATGACAACCGTGAGTTGATCGCCCATCATCGTACATGGCCAATGGCAAGGTAATCCAGGATGGTTGCTCCAATGAGTTTGCATTGGCAATCTCAACCTGTCAGGCAGGTTAACTCTCTAGGTTTGGAAGTCCAGATTGGTTGCTTTTTAAGCCGCCACATGATTACAAGGAACTTGTAAATAATAAATGTTTTAAAATGGTTTGCATACATACATAATAAATGGGGTAGTTTAAATACAATTAATTTATGAAGAATAAATCTAAAAGTTCACTAAAAAAGGTTGTTTTAAATTCGGAATGCTTTCCTATGTTCGATTTTATAACGTTAATGAACTGAAGTCTATAAATGTTGCTAGCCATATACTGCTAAGAACATGTTGAGCAGCATGTTGCTAAGGTTCAGAATATAAGCAACCATTTATTCGTCACTTATGCAAACATTTTGTGCAAGAGTATACATATGTATAATATATAATATATATAAATATAATATAAACAATGTAAATATATATATAAAAACATGGTTAATCAGATAGGAGAGATAAACATAAAAATAATATTTAAATATGTAATAATAAAAAGTTTTAATTTGTATTTAAGAATATCTTCAAATTACGGAACCTTCTTTCATACTTTCCTTTCATTTCGTTTGTTTACATTTCATTTTCAAATATCAGAGACACAAACCCTAATGGCGAATCGCAACTATCATAAAGGAAGTGGTAAAAATAAAATTCAAGAAAAAGTTTTTAACTCATATATTACAGATCAATAAAATAAATAGAGATATAAAAGAGATCGTCACTCACTTTGTTATTTGAAGCTGGAAGTTAAAACTCCGAAAGCGTTTTTCTTAATTTACAAAAATTTTCACACAAATATTCACAACAAAAAATAACAAAAATTCACAAATAAATACACAACAAAAAAAAAAAAAAACATATATCACTCACGATTTCGATATTACCCGCTTTTCCGTTTTCCCGTTTATCCGCACTTTTTCGTTCTTTCTTTTCCCCCGCTCGTCTGGCGACCGAAATTGGCGAATAAGGCCCAAGCGCCTCTCAGAGTATCTGGATCTCCTCTCTCTCTCTCTCTCTCTCTCCTTTTTTTCCTCGCGGCAACGGTTTGATGGCAACAGTTAGCGTTGTGTATGTTTTAAGGATAATACATATTTTTAGCACTAATTAATCACTTGTGCTACACTAAAAGTCCGCGGACCTGCTAATTTCGTTTAATTGTTGTTGCACTTCATGTATGTATGTATGTTCGAATTGTGCACTTCATGTATGTGTGTATGTATGCAGCTGCGAACTCGCCAACTTCTTTGATCCTAATTGCACAATAAGATTTCTTAGATACACAGCGAATGCACTGTCCAATTGGGAAATTGCGTTATTCTTGTTGTCTCACACGCCTTAAATTCAGATTTGGAACACTTTTCACCGGCTAATTAGACTTTTTCCCGCAAATTTTTTCTCTGCAAAATTTTCCGTGGCCATTGTCACGATGTAAAACACGATAGAAATATCGATATAACGATCTTCGTATCTTTGGATATAGTATCGCTGAAATGTTCTTAGTATCGATATATCGTTGTTACCCCGTGACGATAGAGTATCCTTTAAATATCTCCAATATCGATATATCGTTGTCACCACGTGACGATTGTGCAAAATTATTCAATTTAGCTTCCTTTGTTGTTTATTGTATTTTTTTATACTTTGTAATGTTGTATTAGTAGTAGGAACAGTTTATAACAGTAATGGCACTCGAACATACTTCTTATTTGATGAAGCGCCTTGAAATAGAGTTATATACTTGTTTTTAAGGTATTTGTCCATTTTTATAGAAAGGCCACCAACTCTATTAATTTATAATAATCAATCCCCTTAAGAATCATTAGTTTCATTTAATCATTTTGCATTATCGTCATGTTGTGACAACGATATATCGATACAGAAAATATTTAACGATACTCCAACCAACAAATACAAAGATCGTTATATCGATATTTATATCGTTCTTATACATCGGGATGCCACGGAAAATTTTGCGGAGAAAAAATTTGCGGGAAAAAAGGCTAATTAGCCGGTGAAAAGTGTTCCAAATGCAAATTTAAGGCGTTTGAAACAACAAGAACAACTCAATTTCCTAATTGGACGCAACAACCGCTGTGTATCAAAGAAATCTTATTGTGCAATTAGGATTAAAGGAGTTGGCGAGTTCGCAGCTGCATACATACACACATACATGAAGTGCACAATTCGTACATATGTACATACATACATGAAGTGTAACAACAATTCAACGAAATTAGCAGGTCCGCGGAATTTTAGTGTAGCACAAGTGATTAATTAGTGCTAAAAATATGTATTATCCTTAAAACATACACAACGTCAACTGTTGCCATCAAACCATTGCAGCGAGAAAAAAAGAAGAGAGAGAGAGAAGAGAGCCAGAAAGTGTGAGAGGCGCTTGGCCCTTATTTGCCATTTTCGGTCACCTGACGCGCGGGGAGAATGAAAGAACGAAAAAGTGCGGAAAAGCCGAAAAGCGGAAAAACGGAAAAGCGGGTAATATCCAAATAGTGAGTGATATGTTTCTTTTTCCAATTTTTTTTTGTTGTGCATTTATTTGTGATTTTTTGTTGTGAATATTTTTGTGAAAATTTGTGTAAATTAAGAAAAACGCTTTCGGAGTTTCAACTTCCAGCTTCAAATAACAAAGTGAGTGACGATCTCTTTTATATCTCTAATTATTTTATTAATCTGTTATATATATAAGTGAAGAAAATGTTCTAGAATTTTATTTTCCCCACATCCTTTATGCTCGTTGCGATTTGCCATTAGGGTTTGTGTCTCTGATATTTGCCCTTGGAAATGAAATGTAAACAAACGAAATGAAAGGAAAGTATGAAAGAAGCTTCCGTAATTTGAAGATATTCCTAAATACAAATGAAAACAAATTAAAACTCTTTAATATTACATATTTAAATATTATTTTTATGTTCGTCTCTCTAATCTTATGTACCATGTTTATATATATATTTATATATATACATTGCTTATATTATTTATTTATATATTATTTTTAAATGTATTACGGGTATATATATGTATACTCTCGCCCAAAATGGTTTTCATAAGTGACGAATAAGTGGTTGCTTATATTCTGAACCTTAGCAACATGCTGCTCAACATGTTCTTAGCCATATTTAGCTAGCAACATTTCGAGACTCAAGTTTTCTTACTTCTTATACACTTTCAGGGTATTAAAATTATAAAATAAGCTTGTAACGCAATTAAGGAGTCTTTTCCGATCCCATAAAAAAAATATATATTGTTATATATAAATATATATATACATATATATCGAGCAGCATCTCTTTTGGGAATAACATCTGACATTAATGTAAGAGAATTCACTGAAACTATTTCGGAATCCTTTAACAACATTACCTCCTGTATTTGTACTCACAACAGAAGTAGAAGCCAACGACTACCAGCAACATCAGCTACCAGAAACATCGACTACTTGTGGCAATTGCGTAAATGATGTTCTAATACAACATCAATTACAATGGCAAGCGGCCCATGGCCGAAACCGTAATGATGTAGTCAGCCTCCGAGTTGCGTTTCAGCCAGGTCTTCGTCCCCATCCCCCCACCGACTCCTTCGTCCCCCTTCGAACTCTGGCAACAACTTCTGGCTTGTGCTCCTCAATAAGCTTGTGGCATTTACGCCTTGTTGTTGCCAGCTTTATCCTCCTCTACTGTGGATGTTTGCTGCTGCTATTGCCAGTGTGTAGCTGTTATCGTTGTCGCTGAACCGGCTGCCACTCGGTCGGTCCCTGCTCTCGGCATCGCCGTAACAGTTGCCCGAGTGCATCCATATACAAACATACCCTGTACTCTGAAATGGAGTATCATGGCCGAGATTCATTTGAAAATTCTCACACGTTCCAATTGAAAAGTGAAAATGTGAAGATACAAAAGGGGACAATGGGAGTTTTGAGAAAGGTAGGGAATTTACTTTGTATTAAAATTCACAATAGTTAGAAGGAATGAACAGTAGTTCGAGGGTTTTAATATCATAATAAAAAGATACGTAATTCAATTCTATATTTTATCTGTAAAAACAACGAATAAGATAAAGAATGTTTAAAACTAAAACCATATAGAGATTTAAAGTCTCTTCGGATCGTAACTTTTTAAAGTAAATGTTTCCTTTATTGGTGTTATGAATTAATAGCAATATTATTAAATATCATTCTTAAATAGGGTACTCCAACGACCAAATCATTGAATTCTGTTGCTTTCTTGGTTAATTCGAGTAAAAATTTCATCCACGTTGTTTGCCGTTGTCGTTGCAGCAGCGGCAACAACAACCGTTTTACGCATGCGTGTGCCTTAGCCACTGGGCTACCTTACCTGTTGCACCTGCTCAGCCCCCTTCATGTAACCCCCTCCCACCCGTTTTACGCCCACCAACCAGCTGACTATGGCACTGCTTCAATTTATGTTTTAATTGTGGAAATTATGTGACACATGTTGCTGCTGCTGCTGCTGCTGCTGTGGCTCTACTCCGCGTGCTTAGGCGGCGCATCTGAGAGCATCGAACAGAGCCGAAGAGCCGCCGTCTGTCATAACTGGTAAAGTTGTAATTAAACTGGTGCTGGGATCCCCATCCCCATCCCCAACCCCAACCCCATCCTCATTTCCACTCCTCCTCTTGGGAAACTCTCCTCGGACTGCGTTCGTTGCCGCCCATTGGATGAAATTGTCTGGAATGGGGCGACAGCGTTTTGTGGGTTTTTCTCGGGCTGGTTGTAAACATTTTACGGTTGTTTATTGCCATCAATTGATGTATGGGTGGATGTTTGGGGAAGTTTTCCAGGATACTGGATAATAATTTAGTTCGAGTGTGAGCAGCTGATGGTGGAGTCAATTGGGCAGCTGATCGATACGGCTTTTGGTTTTGGTGGGAAATTAATTATTGTCATTAAAATGGAGGAAAACCTTAATTAAAAAAGTGCAGCCAACTTTAAATGTACTCGTTAAAAAATGGGTACTGTCCCCTCTTAATTTAATCTTTTAGCATTCTCAAAGAGAGTTATGAAAGTCTGGTAATTGAAAGTACTATCAAATCCTTTCAATATAAAATGGGTCTAAATTGCGTACAAAATGTAATCTAAGCCCAAATCATTGAGAAGAGAGAACTATATAATTAGACTCATTGGAATGGTTATGGTTATGGCTTTCGTTGCTTTTGCCTTCTGCAGAATAGCTCTAACTGCACTGTGATTGATTGATTGCGCCTTTAGACTGAGGAGTTGTTGACTTTACAGCGTGTTTATGGCTGCGCTTGAGTCTTGAACCCGAGTGAACTTAACACAAGCCAACCGCAAATAGTGCCTCCCGACTCCCCCAAAACAATAGTGGTCAAAATAGTAGCATATTTTGCCTACTCTTAGTAACCATTACTCCATAATAGATAATTAAAATGTGTTTTAATACACGAAAGCATAGCATTTCATTTCTTACAACTATGTATATTTGTTATGAATATGCCATATAATAAACTATATTCTTATTGTCCTGTTAAAGACAATATATTATCATTTTGGCACTGCTATTACTTTAGCCACCGCTGTGGATACGTAAGCCAAACTTTATGGAGTGTTTGGGATTGGGGCACGTTGCCTAACCATAACGGTAATGGAGGTGCTAGTGTTGGCCCAACAACCGGATCGGTACAAAAAACTTTGGGTCACTCGCCGTGGAAGTCGGGGAAGTGTCTAATAATAAAAATCAAAATACCGTCACGTAAACCGATAACAAGGCGCAAGACCTGCGGATCTCTGGGAGGAATTGGAGTTACAGCCAAAACGCAATTAAGACCGACATTTTTATGGTGTTCAAACTATAAAATTCATATAATTAAATTGCAGTTATAACTATAACAGCGGCCAACAGAAGCCGCAGCAGCAGCAACAGCAGCAGCACCGGCGACAGCACTGCGAACACCAGCAACGTGCAACATGCAACACAGCAACAGCAACACTAGCGAAACTATCATAAAGCTGGGATCAAATCATTTCTAAGAGTGAATAATTTCCTAAGTGAGAAAATAAAGTGAAAAGTGATAAGTCAGTGGATTAATATTTAAAAAAGAATGAGCTGTTTTATACAGATATCTTAAGGGCTTTTCTGGACTCTAGACGTTGATGTGTAGCACCCAACATTTATTTATTCTTATAATTTATTGTTGGATTATTTATATTAAAAATTATTTCTCATAATTTAATTAATGTTCAAAAGTCAACGAATTATGGAAAATATAGGAAACTTTTTTAGACCAAGTTTTACGTATGGTACTTTTATATTTTCTTGAAAAGATATAAAAAATGCTTATAAATATGTTATAATCCATTTTACTTTTTACGTCATTCAAAAATGCCAAAGATTTCTCATTTTTAAATTACTTAATTACAAGCTATAAATATTTTCAACTTGAAAAATGTAAGTAATGGTAATAAATCATTGCTTTATACCATTTACTGCGACACTGGCTAAGCTTTTTCAAACTATTAATTTCCTGAAGCCAATATTTTCAACGGCGATGGGTAATATATCCCATTAGTTCGATTATAATTAAGGAAATTATGTCCGTATGGAAATTATCAATTATCTGACTGTATTTATCAAATTGAAACAACGCCGGCAGCGCTGCAGCCGTGGAGCCACTTGGAGCGGAAAACAAAAGTTAAGAAGCGAGGGGAGGCACCAAATAGTCCCGAAATTGGCCACTATCTTTATGCCCCCTCTATCCCTCCCCCTCACACTCACTCACTCAGTATTTAGTGCAATTGTGCAGCAGGTGTCGAAAGCTCTCTGCTCTCTCAGCAGCTCCAAGCCGCTCTCAGCGAGCTTTTCAAACTGTTGTTTTGTTTTCATTTATTTTTTTTGCACGCTCTTCGGCTTTCTGTTACGGGTTTTGTGCCGGTTATTGTTGTTGCTGTTGCTTTGGAGTTGGTATTTTCATTGATGAAAATGCCATGGCTTATGAGAGAGAGAGAGAGAGCTGTAAGGGAGCAATAACAAGAGAGATACCAAAATTGGGAGAACTTGATCAGAGAGCCAAATTTTGGTTACAGTGGCAGGCGGAAAAGTTGGAAAGGTAACATACATTAAGAAATTATTAAGAAGTTGATAGGTATTGAAATTAAAACTTGATTTTTTTTAAGATTTAATTACATGTAAGAACATAATTTTATGAACAATGTTGGAATTACATGAGTTCATAACTAGATGGTTTGGCCAGTTTATGCTGATGGGGAAGAGAATTTTTTATAAATAAGAGACATATATTTTGAATAGAATTTTTTTTTTAATCTCTTTTTGGTATTGTAATTATTGTTTTATAATTTGGATCGTTAATTGAATTTATCAAGGAAATTATAACAATATTCAGCTTGCTTACTATATACTTTTTCCGTAAACAAAACCTAAGTTTATAAGGTCAGATTTAATACAAGAACCATAACCAGATCCATGATAATGCTTGATATTTATCAACAGTTTTTACTTTGATAGGAATACTTTAATTTATTAAAAAATGTAAAGAAACAGGTACCTAATTAAATGCCAATATAAAAAAGTTGATCAACATTACATTGCACAGATGTCAAGGTTTCTCAGTTGATCTCTTCCCGTTTCACCTCTGCACTCTCGCTCCTCCTCTCCCCCTTTTCCCCTCTCACTCACTTGGAAATTTCGCGAATACCTTTTGTTAAAAACGAAACAGCTGAGCGCGCTCTCTAAGCCACAGCCACTCTCCGCTCTCTCTCAAGCTGCCAGCAGGTGCAGCGCAACAAGTGCCGCAGCGAGCTTCGGCTCTCTCTCTCTCTCTCTCGCCACACGAATGAAAGGCACCTAAGAGCTGAGCTCACCTGGTCGCCTCATTCGAATAAAAACTTTCGTGCGAGACGGACGTGAGTGACGGAGCATCGTGCTTCTTTTTTTGCCTATCAACAAAAAACTGTGTAAACTGCAACTTTGGCGCGACTTTTGTGCAAAAGTGAACGACAAACGAAGCGAGATTGCAGCGAAATTAGATGTGAAACAAGTGCAGAATAAGAGATAGAGAGAGAGAGAGATATAGAAAAGCGGCGTACCTGTGCAACGGAGCACTGTGTTAGCCAAGTGTAACGATAAGCAGCGATACCCAATACCCCGACCAACTAAAAGGAAAGCAACACACATAAATAATACCCCTTAGTGGCCAGCAGCCATGTCTACCACTACGAAACTGGAGCAGCAGCAGCAGCAGCACTCGAAGCCCATACTGAGTCCAACCCGATCCCTGGACGAAGGTTTCGAAAGCGATCCGGATCGGGTTTCCACAGATTCGGAGCATCAGACAAGTGGAACCGGCACTGGCATCACCACCACCACCACCAGCAACACCAGCAACACGAACAATGCCAGCAAGCTGGCTCAGCTCAGCTCGGCGGCCACTGGCGGCGCCACCAAAGCGGCATCGTCCAGTCCTCCATCCTCCAATCCCATCGGAAGTTCGGGCAATGCCACCAGGGGTGCCCTCACCCTGGCTGCGCCACAAATCCAAAGGAGAGAGTTCTTCAAGGATCAGGGACCAAAACTGCAGAGGCAACAGGCTCAGCCTCCGCAGCATCAGCATCAGCATCAGCATCAGCCTCGACTGCAGTATCAGAAGCAGCGACAACCACTGGTGCCCAGTGCCGCCTCCAGTGTTCACAATCATCGATTGACCTCGGGCATTGTCGGATCCTCGGGGTCGGGAAACACCGGAACCGCCACATCAAACTATCGGCGCGGACGCAGGCTCCACATGAATCCCCATCATCCTGCCCGCAACGGAATCCGTTCGCATTCGGTGGATGCCATATCAAGACACAATCGCCATGGTTACGATCCCAGTAGCCTGATCCTGAAGCACGATGGGAATGGCAATATCAGTAGCAGCAGCAGCAGCAGTGCCGCGGGTGGCGCCACCCGCATGTTGAACTACAAGACAACGGGCGGCGGAGCAAGTGCAACCGGAGCCCCGGCAGCTGGACAGGCACTGCTGGTGCAGCCCATCTCCAGTGCCACCTTGTCGCCCCTGGTGGCTGCTGGGGTTGTGGATGGAGTGGAGGGTGGTGGCTCATCGCCAGTGATTGCCTCGGCCACCCACAGCCTGTACACCTTCTATCCGGCGGAGGGAAACCTTCAGGTGTGGCAGACAGAGTGCGGTGACCTTACCTACAAGTCGTCCCGGAATATGCATCAACTTCACAAGGCGCCCGTGTGCTGGACGCAGTCTATACCCAGACAGGCCAGAAGGTGAGTGTTTCCTTTGGGGGAAATGTTATAAATTAGTTTTAGGTGGAATATGGATGAGGAAAATGTATTTGCATTAGGATTTTATTAATCACAGTTGTCAAAAGCTCTGGAAATTTAATATTTGCAAAGTAAAAGTTTTAAAGAAGGATAGAAAATTCATTTTAATATCTTATGGGAAAGATATATTGCATCTTTTCGGTTCCATTTGTGTCTCCTAAGAAAGTTTCATGATAGATCACTCTCCTCCATTCTAGTTCTTTAATTAACTAAGAAACATACACAAGTATTATTTTTAGACAAGCTACACTTAAAACTAGAGCTCAATAAATCGCTCAAAATGTAAGCTAATTAGTTAATGGTTCGGCTTTATTTTTGGCCAAAAAATGAAGTCAATAGCCATTTCATCTTTAGCGCTCGGCCAGAGTGAAAGTCTTTTTAACAGCATCGGTATCTGGCCAAGACGCGAACAGAGATAGTGAGAGAGTGGGCAATGATGGAGAGAGAAAGAGGGCCGCAGCAGCAACAGCAACATCAGCAGCAACAGCAGCAGCAACATCAGCAGCAGCAGCAACATGCGCATGTGTCATTTAGCTTTGGCCGCGGGGCAGGTTGCTGCAGTGTTGCAAGTTGCGCTGTGGCAATTAAAATGCCTCTTGGAAACTGCTTCACATTGATTAGCTCTCAGAGCAGCTCCCGACCCTTAGCAGACTGTTAAATCGCCCTTACATAACTTAACATTGCCCGGGGTTCGCCCCGAAATAGTGTAGTGTGTGTGCCTGTGTGTGACCCCAAATTAAACGCAAATTGGACACCGAAATTCAGGCACATAAAGTTTGCCAATTTCGCGCTTAACATTTCCAAAAAGACATTTTAAGTTTTGCCTAAATTTGGGTTGGGTTTTTTTTTTTCGGGGGGCCTGTTACAATTTTTGTCTGCGAAATGTGTCCGAAATACTTAATAGCTCTTGCAATCGTTTAACTTTTATATTTTTTATGGTTTGAGAGGCTTTTCATTGCTAAGAAAAAGTAAATATATTGTAAAATATTATTAAAGGCGTGGAAAATGGATGAAAAAAGCAAGAGTTTGGTAAAAGTGACCGAAATTATTAGCTAATTTCAATGGAGTAATCAAATGGTGTAATAGTTAATAAAATATACATATTCTTATAATGACTATAGTTCCATTTTTATGTTAAAGGTAAAGTTGAATTTACCGAAAAGAAAGTAGCCATCTTAATAGATGTTTATTTTAACTAATACTTTTAATTATGTGAAAATAACTACAAGACAATAATTAAGTATTCATAAAATCGGGATATCTTAAACGGAAAAATTAGGCTAGGTTCAAAAGCAATATAAATGATTTGAAATCCCATTTATACTGATATACAGACATGTAATGATTGTCTGATTTTCAATGCAAAATAGGAAATATTTTGAATTTTACTTTCAAATTGCATGTAATGCCTAAATGACTTTTGATGTAGCAATTCAGTTTCAGTTTCATTTGAAGTTTTCATTGCATAAGCACACGCAAATATGTTTATCAAAAGCCTTTTACTTTGACTAAGAAAACCGCCCACATCAACGCCCCATCAGGCTCGATCCAAAAATGGCAAGCATTTCAATCAGCGGGAGGAAACATGCAAAGTGAATCAAGAGCGAATGCAAATGTGGCAGCAACAGGCGGCAGCTGTAACGTTGATAAGACTGCCCCCCCCCAGGGGCACATTCAATCGAAAGACTTAGGCAACGAACTCGATTAGTTCAACGCACTGAAAGATGATAGATGATGTGACCGCAGGTTGTAGTTGCAGTTGCCTTTGGAATTTTCTCTATTACGATTTGCTGTTGAGCTTCGATTGATATCACATTTGAAAACACAACAACTCACAACTCTGTTGCAAATCAAATTGCATGATGCGCAAATATTTCGCTTCGACAGCAACAATAAAAGTAAAAGTTTTTTATTTCGCTTTGGCAAAATTTATTTACATAGTTTGGAGTACACACAATGTGTCATACCTTTGCACACTTTTGCTTTTCACGAGACATTAGTTTAAGTTTTTTTTTGGTGTCGTGGATGCTGTGTTTGGATGGACCAAGTGTAGGTGTCCATTCGAAAGTGTTTTTTATTAAGTGTGTGTGTGTTTTCAGCCAAGGTGTTGCTGGAAAGATGATTTGCTTGCTTTTTGGCGTGCGAAAGTTTTGTTTTTTTCTTTTTTTTTTGGGGAGATGAAGACAGAGTAGCGTTTTTTGATGTCTGCCCGATAGTGCCAAGCTTCCGCTCTATGCATATTATGGGAATTTGCTATAAATATATGTAATTGCATTTTATTAAAAATTTAAAACTTAACTTAAACTTGTAAAATGCGTGAAGTAGAATGTTTTTGAATTGCGAAATTAATCAATTTAATATGAAATCTAACCAAGTTTTTGCAGGTATCCACTCTTATTCCTTAAGGTTATAATTTCTGTGACTTATTTAACTTTAGATCTTTTATACTTATTCTTTTTGATCCAATGCAAGTCCATCAATATCATGGCCAACCCTCTTGAAGGCTACACCTTCAGTGTATCTTTGTTGTGTGTTCATTTCCAATGACGCCATTAAAGAGCCCATGAGATTGTCACTTAATCGCTGGTGCTTTTGCCACTTGCGACTTAATTTGATAAACAAATGCCGCTAATTGCTCCCCATTAACCAATAGGGATAGAGGGAGAGAGAGATAGACAGAGAGAGAGAGAGGGGGAGACCCAACCATAATTGCCAACTATTTACCTTTTGCGCCTGAGGTGAGGGCTAAAGCTTCCTTCTGATTGCTGTTTGCCAGTCACTTTGCGCCGAGCAACCTGTTGATAGATAGATGATCGGCATTCACTTTGATTGCTCATCACTGAGCTCATCATCAGAGCCAAAATCATTGGCAAATATGGTGCCTAATTAAAAGAAATAAAAGCTCAAATAGAATCGAAGAAGATCTTCCGTATTTACCCCAATGCTTTGCTTGTTTTTTATTTTATTTTTGGCACACACAAAAGATTCGTATGTCAATATTTTGTGGCAACAGAGAGGCAGAGATGTTCAATGAGCTGGGATCCTAAAAATAGATCAAGGGGCTGTCAAATGAGACAAGTAAACTCTTTTTTTTTTACATAATGTGAACTGCTAAATTGTTTTGTTTACTTTTGAGCGAAATGTTGTCACCACAAATACGAATGACTTAAGCAGCGAACTTGCCGTTTATGCAATATCCACATTGTTGGCCCGCTTAGGATATATCTCATGAAATGATTCATTGTCTTGACTCAAATCTTCAAAAATCCGAGCACATTTCAAGCACTTTCAATGCCATATTTTTCGTGGGTAATTGCTTTATTTTTTTTTTTTTTTGGCACCCACTCTTGACGTCGCTGAAACACTTTCAATTTCAATGCTTTGACGTCTGTTTTAGCACCATTTTTGGACGAGTCATCAAGACAAAAGAACTATTAAATGGAGATCACAATTCTATGGAAACGTTAACCCAAGTACCCTTCCTCACCACCCCACTACCCCACAGTAATTGAGTCGTTGTCAATGACATCAGAGCCAGCTGAAAAATTAATAGTAACTGAAAAAAAACTTCATATAAAAGCAGCCGGAAATGCAGCGAACACTTCCCAAGCCTCTATAGGGTTTCCCGCTCAACTGTTTGTTACATTTTTCCCTCTGACCACTTAGCATTCGCCACTCTGGTAATTATGCGAAAATGAAAACAATACCCACCTGGATGAGTCACCGCCGACAGTTGTCGACACCTGCCGACCGCTTTGGGTCACGGGCCAACAATGTGAACTCACATGTGAAGAGAGTCTCTGGTCTCTGGTCTCTGGTCTCGGGTGCACGGGTTCAGGTCACCCCGGGGTCGGTTAGCGAGCCAAATTGTAAAATGCAATAAAATTTTGCTGCCATAAAGCAGCCGCGTTTTTGTTTCGAGTGCGAGTCATGGTAATTATCCCCTGGACAAATGAATTTTTCCAGAGTGTGTGCACGGTATGCAAAACTAAATACATTTTTTGTTTTCGTTGCAATTACTCTTGCGGGTTTGGTGGAGGGAAAGTCATTTTGTGGAGTATCGAATTTGCCACCTCTGACACACGGGGGTTGCACCAGATCCATGGGAATTCTTTGAAAATGTTATACATTTTGTGAAACCTTAGTTTTGTAGTATAGTTAAACTTTGTATGCTTTAAATTTAATTATTTTCTGATAGTAAAATATGCGAAAATACCATTTAAGAACTTAGATACAATTACAACTCAAAAACTATTTCTAGCAAGCTTATTTTAAACCCATTTTAATTCAATAATTTATGTTTCCCTTGCTTACAACTTTAAATAACAAGCTGGCATTAATAAATTCAAAAGATTTATGCTCTAGATTTATATAGAAAAGTCACATAAATATCTTGGCAAGGCCCAAACCCATGGAAACCGCAGAAACCTCACGTTTAATTTAAGAAAGCAAAATGCAATTTAAGCGAGGCGAACAATTTTGATGAACCTCTTAGATGTTGTTGGGCCAAGAGAAAAGCCACAGCTACCAAAAAAAAAGGGGGGAGAACTTGGCAAATAAATACAATTTTAACACCTTTTGCTCCACATTCCTTTTTGGCCAGTTCCGTTAGCCATGAACGATGATGGCCTGGCCCAGCTCGGGCATCTATTGTTATTATTATTAATTAGAAAAAATATTTCGCCGGCCATAGCGAGATAGTCCAGGCCTGGACCAGAACCCAGCCCAAACATCGCCTGACTGGAATTATCAGAGCAGAGGCATCAAGCCATTGGGAGCTGCAAGTTGCAAGTGCTGGAGCCGAGTCCGAGTTATTTGGTCCAGAGTTTTGATTGGAACTCCTCGCGGCCGTGACATGCGAGCTCCGGAGCTATATACATAGCTCCTCCGTGTCAGCAAATTAGAGAAATATTTTGTTTGCTCAGTAATTGGCAATTGATCCA